ATGAGAGGGAGGAGGGTCAGAGGGAGAAGCAGACTCCCCGCCAAGCAGGGGGAGCCCGATGCGGGACTCGATCCCGGGACTCCAGGATCATGACCTGAGCCGAAGGCAGTCGCCCAACCAACTGAGCCACCCAGGCGCCCTCCATAGTCATTTTTGTAATAACTGGATTATACTGTTCTTGAGACAGGCACGGCAGCAATTTCAATCCTTGAATGGGCTCATTTACTTGTTTTTGCTCCTACCTCTGCCCACCAGAAGCAAGTTTGCTGGTCCATTTCGTGATGTAATTACATCAGAAACAGAGTGTATCTCTGATTTATCTCTTCATAAATTTTAATCACAGAAAAGTTTAATTTCTCTTAACACAATTGTTCTCTTTCAAGAGAAGTTTAATAAATCACATCATTCTAGGTCAAGGGTTGGCAAACTATGGCCCATGGACCAAATTCTGCCATTGTTTGGTTTTCTGTGTAAAGGTTTTTGTTTTGTTTTGTTTTGCAACACAGCTACATTCATTCACAGCCACATACTGTCTATAGCTGCTTGCGTGCTACACTAGCAGAGCTGAACAGTTGGCACAGAGCCTGTGTGGCCTGTAAAAATACTTACTCCCTGGCCATGGCAGAAAAAAATTGCCAACCCCTGTTCTGTTCCTGGTTGTTAAAGTAAACCCAGGATTAAATTGTCTTTGATTTAAGCTACATTTTGAGTAAACCCTTGAAATCTGCACTGTTTTGTTTTTGCTTACTTACTCACAGAATAATTTCCTAAAATAAGGTGTCAATACCTATTAATTTTTCATCATGGCCATCCAAGTTGGGTAACTCAACAACAGAACTTTACAAACAATTCTAAAAAAGCTTACTCTATGCAAGGCACTGGTGAAGTGCCCAGGAGGTGGGTGGAACAGAGATGCAAAACACAATTCCAGATTAGGAGGTGTTCTCTAGTTAGTGAAGAGACAGAAGCACAGCTTTCTAGTGTAATGCATCTCTTTACTCAGCCCCAGTTCTTAATTTGTACTCCTATTATAAGACCTATCATAGTCAGCTTTCTCACAGAATTATGTACATATTATCTCTCCCCTAAATGGAGAAATGGGTACAGATAATTTCTTATTCATCTTTGTATACAGCCACAGTGCCCAGCAGAGTGTGATGCACTTTCTAGGCACTCAGTTAAAATTTGTTGAATTTGACTTTCCTGTCATAAAAGAAAAGATACAATGAAAAGCAATCTTTGTGTATCTTATAAAAGCAATGTATGAATTCATCCATCCATGCTTTCAACTCCACTCCCTCCCATATCCGTCTGGAGCAAGCTCCACTGGGAGCTATCAAGAAGGGACAAAGATATTCAAAGAATTTTATGGTGCACACTGTAAAATTGATTAAAACTGAGCACACTTTTTTTCTCTAAGAAAAGAAGATGTTTTTTAAATATGCTGTCAGGAAATACTGTGGGATTTCATTGCCTTTGGCCTAAGAAGTATCTAATGAAGATATTGTGTATTCTACTGGGAATCATTTTATAGAGAAAGGCAGATGTTATGATTCTTTAGATTTCATTTGTTTTCTTCAGCAATATCAGAAATCTCTTCTTTTAGCCCTCCCTAAATGCACAAAAAAAGGAGGCCCCAGTGATCCTACTTGTTCTGTCAATTTCTACCTGGAATAAATACCTAAGACTAGTCCTTCTTTAACTTTCTTTCTTAAACACAAATAATAAGTAATATGGAGATTGCTTCTGAATCTTGCTCTTTAACTGGAGTTGCTCATGTAATTTGCCTCCTGCAACTTGGTCAGATGTCTGCTCCTATTTCTCAAAGATCACATACTTCCAAAGGGCATGCTTATTTCTTTTCAAAGAAGCAGCACAGAATGGATTCAACTGCATAGTAATATATCCCATGACGAAACCTCCCGATTGATAGCACTGGCCGAATAGAGCTCATTTTCTGAAAGTGCACCTAAAGAGTTTTGTGTGGTCTCATCCCTTCTCCCGTGACCTATCAGTAGCTTCTTTGACGGGGTTCCAGAATTCTGAATTGGTTCAGCGGCAGATTCAGAAAGCTTTCTTTTCATCTTGACTGCTGTTCTCAGAGCTGTCTCTCTCCCACAGAGAGTTCTTTTTTAAACTATCCTTTCTAAGGATTTCTACTGTAACCCCATAAGGATTCCAGTTTTATCTTCCTTTTGTTCCTTTTCAACATCAATTAGTTGGTGAGGCAAACTGAGAAAAGATAAATCTACAGTTCTGAACTAGGAATATAATTCAAAGCTGACATTGGCTTATCAACCTGGTATTTCTCTATCCTTTTCCTTTTAAAACTGGATGATATAAAACACAAGTGTTCAATAAATGTTTGTACAATGGAATTGAGTTTTTACTGAAATGTCCGGGAATGAAAATGACAAAACTAAAAAACAAACAAACAAAAAAACCAGACAAAAATCAACCCCTAGTCTCTAAAATGAAACATCTGTTTTAATTTCCTCACTATTCTTAATTGCTCCTACATGTAATATACTGATTTCAAAGGAAAGAAAATTAGCCCTTAAGTCAAGTTAAACTTGGTAAAACCAAGTTTTAGCCTTTTAAGCTATGGGTGTTTAACTGAATCACAAAAATCTTTGTGTTCATCTGTTGTGAGGCTTTTAGGAGGGTGATAAATTCAAAGAGGACTGAAAGCAACAACCCCATGAAACATTCTGCTGAGGTATTCCCAAGAGTGTAGGATTAAATTACCACTTTACAAATGAACAAAAAGAATGCATTACAGACAAAAATATTTTCTCCATTCACAGACTATGAAACTCCCTTGAGTGAACAGCTTCGGTGCATCCAATCCAATGTTGGGACAACAATTAAGTAAGACAAAGATAGAAACTGATAATCATTACAATGGCACTGTTTCTTTTACTAATAACTTCTAGTTTGATTTATTTCAGTAGGTCATTGGATGCAAAAGGCAAAAATAATCCTATGGCACTACCATCAGCTTGGGTTTATTGGTTTAAATTAAAGTACCAACTTGGACAAGGGTATACATATATATATATATACATGCTTGGCATGTATTTTTATGGCTTTCAAAAAGAGCACATTGAGTGGAAGTATAGATATGAGCCAGGAGCATGAGCCCAGAGGATGAGAATTCCCAGAGGTTGGCTGCTTCTTTGGCGATGAGCTGTTTTTAGTTGGTAAAAACATACTTTCTACAAGGAAACACTTCCTTATTCTTATATAACTTAAAAAATTGCAAAGGCAGAAAATCACTTTGCTTTGTGACTTTAAATTATTATGTTTGTATCTTTTGTTCTGTGTTTTGTTTTGTTTCCTTTCCCCAGCAATGTACTATTACCTCCAAATTTCATGGTCATCCACCACAACTTAGGTTTTGTATATAAAACAAATTTTTCCTTTTTTTTTTCCTTCTCTCTCTTTAAATATAAATAAATCAGACACTCTAAAGCCATCATTTAAACATGCGTGCTTACACTACTGGGAAATAAATAGAAATAGAACTACACTTCTGGTCTAGTTCTGACATTAGTTTCTTTCTAAAATATAAATTTTCAGTTCTAATGTTCAAAACTTCTAATTGCACTTAGTTTTCCAAAAATGCTTCTTTAAAGCATTTCATTCATAGCCGAATAATACAAAGATTTAACTTTTTTTTTTTTACAAAGTACAGAATGATGAATCAATTTTGCAAAAATATTTCAAAGTAGAGGAGAAAAAATTTTCAAAATAATGAGTTGCCCTAGAGTGTATAACCTATTCAAGTACTAAAGACATTATACCTCCAATATAGCGAACTGTTAAAACTAGTGTACATTCATTTCACAAGAAATTTTAAAACAATTGTCAGATTTGGAATACAGCATGTAATCTACTTTAGTGATGTTTAGGTATAGAAGAAAGAAGTCTATAAATTCTGGTTATAGGAATCCTTGTGAGGACATTGCATAATGTAGAGAACCCTGGATATAGAGACATTTCCTTAAACAAATACTGTTAATATTACTTTTTTTTTCAAGCCAACTAGGATAATGCTAACAGAGTGACAGGAATTTTCCCAATTATCAAATGAATCCCAGCTTTGGAATACCTTCTTCCAAGTTACCAAGTATTGAATTCAATTCATATTTAGTAATTTATATTACAAAAATATGCTCTGAAACATTTGCAGCCTTTATGTTTTACTGCTATAGCCATATGCCATCAAACTCATATGCTTGCTGTATTCTTCCTTGCTGGTTCAGAGCCTGTTTGCAAGTCATGTTCCATTGAATGACTCATAAATTAAAGAAACTTCTAAAGAAAACTAGAAAGAACTATTTCCTTTTGGTAATGCTTCATGTACTAAGCCAAAAAAGTTTTCCCACAATATTTAAATGAATAATTCATTGCTTCAGTAGGTTAATATTTGAGAAAAAAACCTGATATATAGGAAGTCAAACATTTAATACTTACTGTAGAGAATAGTTCCATTCAAAGTGTTTGTTTTTATAGTCAAGTAGATGGTAATAGTTCTGTTATGTTCCTTCTCTGGGACAAATTTCAACTCATCCAGGGTTGAAAAAAAAGGCAGTTCTAGATAGGAATTCCCGTTGAAAGAAGGAAAAAATACACTTGCATCTAAAAAAAAAAGCCCTGTTAGTGTGCTCTGATGGCATTCTATTGCTAATCAAGTAGATAAGAATATAACATTTATAGTTAGCATTCATTTAAGAAGATAGTACTGATATTATATACATTAGACCCAATATTAAGAAATTTAGATACATAAGTACATTAAATTTGTAAAGTCATTGTCTCAAATAATCAACCACCAGAGGAAAAGACTCAAAGCAAGAATTTTAATTTTTGTTCAAGGATGGACAACAAAAAATCTGTGTGCCTGCATGTGTGAAATAATAATTTTCATCAGACTCTTAAAATATTCTGATATGAATGGCTGTACAACAATTATATATTTAAAATCAATGAATTTTATTTGATGTAATTACACCTCAATAAAAAAGTAAAAAAAGAATCTGTGACACAAAAAGATTAAAAAATTGTCACATAGCAAGGTTTTATTAATGTATGTTAATATTTAGTGCTTTCCAATAGTTAGATATTTTATAAATGGTAGTACTATCATATGCAAAGTTAATTTTTTAGAGTTATCCTTTTAGAATTATTAATCTTTTAAATGATTAATCTCAAAATACTGAGGCATAAAAAACTTGAAAAGTATTTATTTTATTGTCATATGCCTATATTTAGATCTATAGACTTGGTACATTCACAAGTGTAACATGGCATGTGGAAATGTAACTTTATTTTCTGTCTTTTTCACAATGGGGGAAATATTCTTTGTCTCTGGATGAAAACTTGGCAGTTCCAATGAGTCCTACCTTCTTTCTAAGTTACTAAAATAATGATGCAGAAACTAATATCCAGTCTAAGAAATTTATCAACACTTAAATCTTTCTTTAGAGATAGGACTTCGTCTACCCTCCTCCACCAGCCAAGACCTGTAGGGCATCTGACCCCTACTATCTTCCTTGAGGGACAGGAGAAATCTGATTTCTGTTCTTTTTCTTGTCTTACCTCTTCCCATTCATGCTAGCTGCTATTTGACCATTTCAGCTTTGAATGTGGAGGAGGCGTGAAGGAGGCAAGGCGGAGTGGAAAGGAGAGAGAAGTACACAGTAAAGAAGAGCTGTAAGAACTGCCGACTGATGCTGTTATAAGCAGGCTCTTGCGTTCTAGGAATAGCAGATGTGCTAGAAATGTCAGATAAAATACAACACACTCAGTTCAATTTCAATTTCAGATCAACAACAAATAGTTTTTTAGTATAAGTATGTACCAAACCTTTCACGAAATATACTAGAAGAATTATTTATTTGAAATTCAAATTTAACTGAGTGTCTTATATTTTTAGTTCTTAAATCTGGCAACCCTCTGACCCATGAGCATTTGTGTATTCTTTAGAAATCCTTTCCCAACTATAATTCCTAGGATTTGTGCAATGGCCTGCCTTTGGCTTGTCACTTCTAACTTGGTCCCATATTGATATTTCACTTTAGCACAGACTCCTGCTGTTGACAACCACTTGCCTGTGTCAAAGTAAAAGTGGCACTGGACAAAGTTAACCAAAGACTTTACTCAGGGCTATTGCAATAAAGGAGAGAGGTCAGAATTCAGTCTTTGCTTAACAAAACAAAGAGTGCATTTTGTGTGTGTGTGTGTGTGTGTGTGTGTGTGTGTGTGTGTGTGGTTTGATAAATCCACAAAAAAATTTTCTGGAAGAAAACAGTCTTTATATAAGGGTTCACATATGAATTAAATTATTTGGATCCATAATCAGGTTTTCTTATTCTGAGAAGTAGTGAACTCACCACCACCAACAAAAAATATAATTCAATTTACTAAAAAAAATGACTTCCATATTACTTTGCAGGAGCGTATCTGTTGTATAATTCAGGCACACCTGCCTATTTCCCAGCTCACACACTCCTTGAATCTTTTTTTCAGAGCTGACAGGTTTTACAAAAGTTATGACAGGAAACAACAATTATGAACAATAAACATTTGCTATCGAATTGCTTTCTAACCATATTAATTTTCATTATCATCATGTTTAGTGGCTATGTTTGAAAACAGAACTGCCCTGAATGTAGAAAACAAGACTAATTGGGGTTAGGTAGAGTGTTTTCCTGCTGCTTCCAAAGCCTCTTCAGGCAATGCTATTTGAACATACTCCAAATTTATTTTTCTTCCAATTACAAATGAAAAAAAAAAACAGGGTGTTTTACAGAAATATGTATTAAACATCTTACAAAATATGGCAGACAGTGGTTAATTGGTGACTTCTGATTACAACATAGACATCTGTAATGTTTAACTGTCTTAAAAGATCATATAGGGTGATCTATATTAACTTTTATATGGTTAACAAAATTTAAAATCAGTTCTGACTCATGGGAAAACCAATAAATTAACTGAGAAGGAGGACCTTTTAAATCCCTAAGTTATGTTATATTAAAAAAATAAAACTCAAACTGTCAAAGGGAGGTATGAGAACCTAGAGTACTGAGCACCTTATGTTAAAAATGTGGATGAATTTAGTATTTTTTACCAAATATATTTCTATAGTATGAATCAGGACCACAGTCAATTAGTAACAACAACACATTGAAATTTTATTCAGGAGAGCATCATGGAGTTCTTTATGATAAAGAAAACACAGAAGAGATTAATATCTTTACCCTGAACACAATGCAGCATCTGAGCAGCATCAATGTTATTCATTCTAAATAGAAATGGAATACCTTTGTCTATAGTATGAGTTATAATCCCCTCAGCCTTTCATAAAAGTCTTCTATGATCTAACCCCAGAAATTGACATACTAACATACAAGTAAAGCTACAAATGTGATGGGTCACAAATTATCCATATACAACTTTATTGTAATTCCTGGTACTAAAAGAAACATAATATTGTTTGCTATTCTTCCTTTATAATAGAAATAGACTTGATCTACTCAATAGAAATTAAAAAATACTATTTGAATGTTTCTGTTGAGTCTTTTATTATGTTCCCCAGAAAGAACATCATATAAATCCTATCACTAAGTTTATAAAGTGAAGATAAGACTGATACCATGCAATTATCAATAAATATTTTGTTTTTAATTTAGAAATAATAATTACTTCTTTTATGATTCTAATTTTGTTAAATTCTGTGATTAAAAGGAATATCACCAGTTAATAAGTCCATATTTCTCTCTTCCTAAAGGACTCATTACTAAAAAATAATAGGGGAGAGGAGTAGGGGACCCTAATTTTGTCTGGTCCCTGGAATACAGATAGACAGTTATCAAATCATTCTGATCACCACAAAATCAATTAGAGATTTGTGAAAAGAAATGCTATAATTCTACAGATAGAAAAGTGACCACTTTTTGGAAGGTAGGAGGTGTGGAGACTTGAATCCAGGGCAGTATATCAGAGGATACAGTGGAGGAGAGGGAGCCTGCTTAAGGAGGCTACTGCAAAGTATTATAAAGTGGAGTGCAAAATCAGAACTTTTAGAAGTCTCCTCCAGTGGGGTATGTCCCTGGTTTAAAGGTGCTTGGGTGGCAAAGCAGGGTGGAATCCCAGATGGGATAGTGTGGTCTCAGGATCCTCGGCGTCACAAGAAGAACGCAGGTGCTTGAGTGCAGCAGAGTTCCCAGGCATAGGGGGGTGGGGAAGGCCTCTGAAACCAGCAAGTCCAGGTGCAGGCTTTCTGCTCTGTGTTGCCATAAACTGTGAACTGTTGCACCATCAGGCGACCATCTCCTGGCAGGGGCCCAGCAAAAGGCACAACCTAGGGAGACCCCCCTCCTTCCCCTGGGAGGAACATCATGGGTCTATGCAGTAGGAGTCCATAAAATTTGGAGTTCTGAAACTCAGTCACGTGCCTGAGATAAAAACACTCTATCACAGGCTGGGTGAACACAGAGTTTGGACAGAAACCAGGGAGACAAGAGTGACTGCTTTTCTGCAAGGGCTCATTGAAGAGTAGGGGGCACAAACTTTAAGCTCTGGGGGTAGAGAGCAGGGTGCTGCCATATTCATCCTGCCCGTCAGTGCTGAAAGCCTTCAGGGAGCAAAACAGCGTCATGTAGTGGAATCTGGAGCCACTTGCACTGATCCCAGTCCCCTGGCAAGGGAGGTACATTTCCACAAGGGCAAGGGCACCTGAGAATCAGTGCAAGAGGCCTGTCCCCCAAAGGACCAGCAGGAACCACCAGCTAGCACCAAGTTCACTGATCATAGAGAACTGCAAGCTTCAGCTCTTGGGGAAAACAGTACATAGCGTTTGTGTTTTGTTTTTTTTTTTTAAATTCTTTAGTCTTTCAGTATTATTTTTCAAGCTGTTTTCTTATTTTTTCAATTCTTTTTTTATTCCTTTTAAATTTTATATATATATTATATATTTTTTAAATTTTTGTTTCCTTCCATTGAAATTTTATATATATATACACATATATATAAAAATATATAATTTTTGGTTTTCTTTCACTGTATTGTATTTTTGTATATATATAAGTTTTTCTTTCTTTCCCATTTTGGGATCTAGTTTCTTTGAACAAGCAGACCAAAATATACCCAGGATCTAGTATTTTGCTTTGTTCTGTTTTGTTTCTTGTTGATTTTTTCTTATTTTTTTTTCTGTTGTTGTTATTATTGTCTTTTCTCTTTCTTTCTTCTAATCTTTTCTGGACAAAATGATGAGATGGAGAAATTCACCCCAAAAGAAAGAACAGGAAGTAGTACTTACTGCCACAGATTTAATCAATACAGATATAAGTAATGTCTGAATTAGAATTTAAAACAATGATTATAAAGATACTAGTTGGGCTTGAAAAAAGTATAGAAGACACTAGAGTATCCCTAACTGTAGAAATTAAAGAACTAAAATCTAGTCAGGCTGAAATTAAAAATGCCATTACCAAGATGCAGTCCTAAATAGAGGCTCTAAAAGTGAGGATAAATGAGATAGATGAGACAGTCAGTGATTTAGAAGATAAAATGATGGCAAATAAGGAAGCTGAAAAGAAGACAGAAAGACAACTCTGGATCTTAAAGGGAGACTT